TATATATATATATATATATATATATATATATATATATATATATATATATATATATATATATAATTCATTTAAAAAGCAGAAAGCCTGCAATGAAACAACAGTGAACAATGTTTAGCCAAAAGTGAATTGCATTACTTATTATTAAAATATACATTCTGAACTCAACAAAACAACATTATACAACGCAAGTATTGATCCATAGAAATTTAAATGAGCAAATAGTATAAAGTAGGCCTAACTATGAAGAAATGAGAAAAAGAGAAGCAACAAATACTGAGTTAATGTCATTACCCAAACACAAACTTTATTATTCCCTTCAGTCTCCTTCTTTGCTGCTTACATTGAGGGTTTTTTCTATAAGAATTAGTATATTAGATCTTTGAGATGCAGGGTCCAGAGCTTGACTATGATTAATTCAATTAGGACATAACTTTAATAAGCATGTCTCAGGAAAATATTACCAGTGTGCAAAATATGTGCAAGACATTTCAGTACATGTCAGTAAAATGCGTTTTAGACTAAGATTATAAAACTGGGTCTGTGAAACCTGGAACAAAATAACATATTTCATATAAGTAGCAATGTTTATTACTGTGTAGTTGCTTATTTTCAATAAATGTGCTACTAGATTATGTCTTTAACATCATCATTAGCACTTTAAAGCGATGTTAAAATTCATTTTCCCTCTCAATTTTACAACCCCTAAATAATAGCAATAGTTTCATTTTCATGGCTCAATTTCTAAATTAAATTAGGAGCAGGGAATGAAGCAAAGGCCATGACTGTGTCTGTGCACAGATAAGTGTTCTTGCAGTGGCCGATCGGTCTTGCAGGGTACCTTGGAAGAACAAATTTGGACTGTGAGAACACAAAACCCATATGAGAAATAAGATGCTGCGAGCTTCCTGTTGATCACATGACCTTTACACGAAAACAGTTTCAGCTTTAGTCAATTTATTTATTTTTATTTTCAGTAAAAATGTATAAATATTTAAGTGCTAAAGCAATCATCTTTTGTAAAATGGAAATAAAAACTATTTCAGCATGGAAACGGCTCGGACAACTAGCGGGTTGTGGGGGTTCCCTAGTGGTGGTGGGGCCCTTAGCAGCCGCAAAGTTCAGTTATAAGGAGGGCTGGCTCTGTTTGGAAATGTGGTCTCTGAGAGATTTATGCCAGCAAATATTAATAATAAATTCTCCATCTTGTCATGTGTATCAACTTAAACTTAAAACAAGTGACACATTATTTAAAACCAAATGCTCAATAATCTGCTTCAACATCTCTTTTAGAACTCGCAAAACAATTTATTTAGCAATTTCACGATTTAATGGTTCGCTTCATTTTATTATTGGCATCAGATATGCTGCGTTAGAGTATATCAACACCAGTCGAGAAAGAATTTTCCATTGATTCTCATTCTTTCTCCTCCTTATTTATTTGTACCATGTGCTATCTGTGTTACTGGACATGATATTGCAGTACATCCAATTTATTATATATATTTTTATTATTATTTTGTTATGTACAGCTTAATTGGTACCACGTTAAAGGCACACAAACATATAAATGTAAAATTATGTACAAATATACAGAATAAATAACTCTCATCCACACTTGTACAAAATAAAGCTATGGTGCTCTTCCATACAGTAAAACATTTCAAGGCTTAACACAATAGTCTGTGTGCATATTTTCTCTATACATGTACATATATAGATATAGAAATTCTTTTCTTCTCCAGCCAGTTGATGAAGATAAAACACCCTGCATAATTGTCATGCTGAAAGAAAATAGTCGGATATGATTTGTGTTTTCGAAAGGAACTTCAAACAACATTAATATACAAACCAGAAGCTACACTACTCAGTTTTCCAATTGGAAACGAAAAATGGCATAGACTGTGCGGACTCACAACGTGATTGTCATCAACCACTTTCAAATGGTATTTTAAGTAGTGCAATTCTTTTCATTTTCTCCGAGAAAGAAGCCCAGCAGAGTTTTTGTCCATATCAGAAACAGTGGAGGTAATGAGCAAGTGGGTCTGTATGACATAATTTGTGAACAAACTCTCCGGGCGTGTTGAGAATTCCAGGTGAGACGGCAATTTCAGACACGATAAATGAGCCCACTCATAAAGTCTGACCTTAGGGTCAAAACAATAGCCGCTTGGCAAGCCGCTTGCTGTTGATGGCGCCTTATTTATTAATAAATGCAATTTTCCAGCATCTTCAGATCCAAGTACCCCCATTATTTAATATTTAATGCACGAAAACTGTGTTGGGCATGTTTAATTCAAAGCTTAGCAAATCAGGGAATGTTTTAACTAACCATAAATGTTCTGTCTGACAGAAAAAAAAAATGAAAGAAAACATGTTTTCTTCCCTTGCTACAGAGTTAAAAGATCTGCCACGTACATTAGAGATACAGAGATAGAAATGTGAAGTGAATCTATGCTAGTCTCTCTACTGTGTAGTAAACATAAAGAGAATGCATTAACCACAACGCACAACAAATACGCTGCTATCAAAGCCAATCGCGTCCGAAGACGTAACTCTGTGGCTCTTTCTGCATGTCCGATAGCAAAGGTCCACCTGAAAAATAGACATCGTGTCCACATCGAATGATTGCATCGTGAGAATCGCCTCTACTCTGGATTTGTTGTGTTATATCTCTCTATAACCCAGAATAAACTCTCAAGGCACTTGGAGTATCAAAGTATACAGTGTACTTATCTCAGTTGAAAGTCGTTTGATGCTCTAAGACTTCTAAATAGTCTGGTTCAGCATGTAAGTTGGCTTTGAGTTCAAAGTACTCGTTTTTAGTCTGTTCCACCATAACTTTCCGAGGCCTTGTATAAACGAGAGTCTCCATGAGCTTCAGCTCTTTGTGATGGTTTGGGACTTGCATGTCCACAGCTGGTTGTAGCTGTGAAATGTTTTTCCTGAGGTATTCGGTGAGGCTGAGCTGTTGGAGTTCCCGCTCCCTTTCTAAGATGCTCTTGTACAAGGAACTGGTATCTCCCAAACCCACAAACTCAGCGGGATAGTCGGAAACGGCCCTGAACTTCACGTTGGGCAGGGATTCATTGCCCTTATCAAGAAGACTGTGGCAGATATGCTTGGCTTTCTCACTATCGTAGTCGCCTAGCTCGTATTCTTTGTGCTGGGAGCAGTAACTAGGGTTTCGGCAAACCTGAACAATGGGGCTACGCGATGGTTCGTCGTACATGACAGGTCCTTGCCTTTCGGTTACATGGTGGGTGGTCTTCTGGCCGTACATGCTGTAATGCAGGTGGATGGGACTGCTCTCGCGAGGTTGCTCTTCAGCTTGTTTCTTTTTGGCTTGCCTCCGCCGACGGTGTAGCACAAACACAACTATCCCAGCAGAACAGAAAATGACGGTCAGGAATAGGATGAGAAGGCAGAGGATGAGCACTGAAAGTGGCACTTCTTTCAGAGACCCGAAGAAGCTGCTGGTGCCACCTTGCGGAGCAGGCGTGACTAAAAAAACATCCTCCGTGTGTTTGCCTATGGACTTATAAGTGACTAATCCAGGACAGAGTATGTCATGTTTCAGGTTTCTAACATCAACAGCGGCCAGCTTTTGTGGAGTTTTGCATAAGATAGTTCCCACCACAGTATCCCTGGTAAGCCTTTCCACCCACTGTTTGAGGCTGACCAAATCACAAGTGCAGTCCCAGGGATTGTCCTCAAGATAAATTTGCTCCAGAAAACTGAGCTGCTCCAAGGCATTACTCACCGGTAAGTGCGTAAAGACGTTTTTCCTTAGGTTTAACATCACCAAGGGCACATTGCGGAATATTTGCGCTGGGAGTGTGTTGAGTAGATTGTTGTTCAGGAACAGGAGTCTCAGATTTGTCAAAGGATTAAACGATCCCGCCTCAATCTCTTTGATGACATTATACTCCAAGTACAGGTACTCCAGGTTGTGAAGACCGAGAAACATAGTTGCAGAGATTCTCTCTATCCTGTTTCCATTCAGTTGCAGCTTTTTTAGATTGCTCAAGCTCAGGAAGGTTTCGTTGTCGATGTAGTCGATCTGGTTGTTGGACAAATTAAGCACATCCAAAGTGTCGTATGTCACAAAATCATACTTGTAAAGTCGTTGTATCATATTTCCAGACAAAAACAGCTTGGTTGGGCTTTGTTCGAGAATGCCTATATCCGATATCCTTTGAATGCCTCGGTTTTCGCAGTGCATTAAAAAACCCGCACTTGGGTAACAAGAGCACACTGATCCACAGACTGTCTCGGGGCCGTTTGCAGGGGTGGGTTTCTTTGCGTCATCTTTGGCATTCGGTATCTGGACAACCTTGGTGGATGGAGTGACAACCATGTCTTGAGACTGTAATGGCTCTTCGAGATTGATGTCAGCATGGGAGGGGCAAAGCGAATCTCTTTTGACCCTGGCCAACGAGGTGCCCTTGAGATTTTCAGGCTTGTTGCAGACCACCTCGCCGATAGACGACTGCGCTCGCATGTTCTCAATCCACACCTTCAAATGCAAGATTTCGCAATTGCACACCCAGTCGTTATCCTCCAACAGGAGCTCCATGATACGACCGATATGCTCCAGGAAACCTACGTATGGCAGTGTCTGCAGCTTATTCCCGCGCAGATCCAAATGTGTCAGAGGCACAAAGCGGAAAATGTTGCTCGGAAGGAAGTCGATTGAGTTGTCATTGAGGATCAGAACTTTGAGACGGATGAGCTTGCTGAAAGCCCCAGGCTCAACCACTCGGATGAAGTTGGTGTCAGCCTGAAGGTACTCCAAATTTACCAACCCCTGGAATGTGTCCTCCTTCAACATAACCAGGAAATTGCTGTTTATGTGCAGCTTTTTCAGGGATCCCAGTGCACTAAACACGCCAGGTTCGAGCTCCTGTATGCTGTTCGCACCGAGATGTAAGGTAATGGCATTCTTGAAAGCCTCCACGTCCTCTGCAAGTAACTCCACCAAGTCATTTTTGTATAAATTTAGATGAAAAGGTACATCTGATGGTACTTTCACATCCGAGATTCTGCTTATGTTTCTCTCCTCACAGTTCACGTACAGTACTCCATCTTTCTCCTCACAGGTGCACAAAGATTTGCAAGCTCCGCCGTATGACGCCTTGGACTCAGTATCTCCAAAACTAGCACCAGCAAAGAAGGAGCAAATGAAAACAATCCTGGCCAGCATTTTTTTTTTATTTCTTCTGTGCATCTGCAAAGAGAACACAAGGGAGAGAAGGAAAGGTAATTATTGGATGCAGTAAGCAGAAAAAAACTTATATAATAACTATAAACAGAACACACTGAATTGTGTGAATTATTGCATGAAGCTCACAATGCTGAGTTTAATGAAATAATCAGGGTACAGTTTGGAAAAAATAACTTATCTGTGGCTAAATACAGATATTCAGAAGTATTAAAACCTATTAAAAGAGAGTTAGAGATGTATTGTGCTATTGCGTATAAGCAGTGAGTGGAACACTCACTCAAAGCTCTTTATAACTCTAAAATAGTCCTAAATGAGCAATTTGGTTGCGTCATTGATAATGATGGTAACAGTGATAATTATATCACATTAAATACTTAGGGAAATAATTAAGTATCTGAAATTACTGGGGTAATTATATTCTAATCAAGAAACAGACTCGTATGCTTCATATTTTTTAGATCAAGCAACTGAACAAAAGGATTTCACCATTTTTTTGCACAAGAAAAGCAAAGAATCTGTACGCACGCATAGCCTACATTTTCACCATGACAGACTGAATGCTGCACGATGTACTTTTCATCAGTCCCCAGCAGCAGACACCCTCCGAGACTTCCTTTGCATAATTAACTGCTTTCCCTGCCCTTGTTACCTCTAACATCTGGATGACTGTGCTTTATAGTGTTCTATAATCCTCTCATTAGTCCAACTATTATACCTCAGGATTAATTTTAAAGAAAAGAAAGTGTGTTGTTCATAATGCACAGCTCAGAGATTTCAGTGTGTGTATTCTCATAGGATTAGGACGATCCAGATTAATGGTATACTGTGGATCTATACTATAATAATCAATATTCACCTTTGTTTTATTGTGAGGCCCAGAACCTGTTCAGCTGCACCACAACATTGCAATGGAATCTGAAGTGTGATGCATTACTTGTCTGTTTTGTGAATGACTGCTCTTGTGAGTTATTGCGAGTGAATCAATACAGTGATTCTTTTAGTAGTTCATTGTATGAAATAAATTAATCTTATGCAAGGGTTATTTTTAATAAATCAACAGTGTAGTATTGATGCATTTAATAAATCTGTAATGGTAAATTGGATTGATTGATTGATTGATTGATTGATTGATTGATTGATTGGTATAATTACAGTAGGTTTTAGTAGTTTTTGTTTTGATTTGTCCGTTAAAATACCCATAAAATGAATTATTCATTAATTTTCTTTTCGTCTTAGTCTCTTTATTAATCTGGGTGGACCACAGCGGGATGAACCGCCAACTTACGCAGCATATATTTTAAACAACGGATGCCCTTCCAGTTGCAATCCATCACTTGGAAACATCCATTCACACTCATTCACATACATACTCTATGGACAATTTAGCTTACCCAATTCACCTATACTGGTCTTTGGAGTGTGGGGGAAATCCAATGCAAATACAAGGAGAACATGCAAACTCCACACAGAAATGCCAACTGACCCAGTCGAGGCTCGAACCAGTGACCTTCTTGCTATGAGATGATTGTGCTACCCACTGTGACGCCTAAAATAAACTAAATATATACAAAGTAGTGGTGTATTGGATCACAAATCTTACGGTTTGGATCATATTATGTTTTTTTAGTCACGGATTGGACCATTTTTTGGATCTATGCCACCTATTGGTTAAATAATGTAATTGCTGCCTACAACTTAAATTTTTGATCGTCAAGTTAAATGCATATGATGGTGATTTTAAGCTTTACCATAAACATCATTGATATCTAAAGTATAAACTGCTACCCCGGTACTTCTGTGTTATTTGACTGTTTGTAAACTAAAGACTGAATCTCTTTCTTGAGTTTTGTTTTTCAAACACAGATGCAGTGATTTGAAGTATTTATAAACATATGCAAATCCCCATCATTTATAATTTATGCTGCGTGGGTGTTGAGATCCCGATCTTTAAATGATTATTCATGCAGCTTAAACTGAATGTGTTAATGCAGGCTAATCATATAGTGACAAAACACCTTTAATAACCTAAGAAACCCACCACATCCCGAATAGCCTACCACAACTTCTTCCGTCAAGTTTATATTTTACAGAAAAGCCTAAATGCTTTCATACATGTGATCTGAATGATGCAAGAGGCAATGTCTCTGTGAACTGTACAAATTTAGTAAAGTAAAAAAAATATATTAATACGCTGGTTACATGTGTTTCAAACCATGGGTTGTTATCCATACGAATCACCCCTAATATCAATTCATCATTACGCTCTATAAACCACAGAATAAAGCCATCATAAAGAGATTTGGGTCAGTTTCCTAACAAGAAAAAAGATCTAGGTCTATTTCACTGTCAATGTCACACAACCACATTCCTTCACAGAAGTCAAAGAAAAGCCTTTGGTTTCAGCTGCTGAAGGTATTAAATAACATTAGTGTTGAAGTTCTCAGGAAATGTATTGACACTTTGCATGAGAGATGCAAACTAATATATATCAAAGTCAAATCTGCAAAAAACCCCGGTAAAACTAGTTCCATATGATTTGTGTTGCACTCAGAGCCACCATCTGCATGGAGACACTTTTTCATGAACACTATGATATTAAATCATGTTTTGCCAATCAAAATCATATTAAGGCAAAAAAGTCAATATTTTCAGATCTGTCAAGAATCTTAATAATTTTGCACACCATTTACAGCACGTCATGATGTACGATGCGTACATATATGTTGATCCTAGAACATCTTTTTGTTTTTGTTTTTTTTTTCTTTGGAAAATGTAACCCATACCTATTCCCTATACCCAACCATAACTCTAAACTATTGCCAAAATCAGAGGGGAATAATAGTTGGATAACAATCATGTAGAAGTGCGTAAACCTAACTGTGAACTTGACATAAACTGTAAACATATCCCTTAATTCTGATTGGCTGATTGGAATGTTGTTCCAGGATCAACATAGATGTTAAACTAGGAACATGTCCTACTTGGTCATATCAGGTTGGCGGTAATTTGCAACAACAAAATATGACATAATCCTGTAATTAAGATACACAATGATTCAGTTTACAGCACTTTAAAAAAAAATAAAACTGAATTATTGAAATTCATTATAAATAATCACACATTTTAGAGTTATTTTAAATGTAGGCTATTTATTGATTATCTAATGAACGGAGCTATTTTGTTCTGTTTTTTGTTTTAACATTTTTATGCAAATTTTAAGGCACCAGAATGACTTCAAAGGGCTTTGTAGCGAGATAGTTAAATTCATATCATGTTTCATATCAGGTGTGCCTGTTGTTTAGCTTTTCCAAATAAAGTTCAGCAGAACTCTGATGCAAATCTCATCACATGCCTCAACAATGTACTGTATTGTTCTGTTCAGTTTTTTCTTTTTTATAAACACCAGCATGGTGGCTCAGTGGTTAGCACTGGTGCCTCACAGCAAGAAGGTCACTGGTTCTAGTCCTGGCTGATCCAGTGGGCATTTCTGTGTGGAGTTTGCATGTTTATGCATGTCCCCCACAGTCCAAAGACATGTGTAAACTGTATGGCTGGACACTTGTACTGCGTGCGGCTTCCGGAAGTGCAGGCTTATAAAACTGTCATTATTGTTTTATCTAAAAATATATATATTGCGATAATTAATGTTATTGAATTATCGCCCAGCCCTCTGTACATTACAGAAAAATGACTTATGTCGAGCATCAGAGAAAAATAAAAATAAACGTCGGTCACGTGCACATGGAGTTCACCTGTTACATCTAGAGACTGTTCACACACACACACAAGAAATGGCGATTCTCCTAAAGAAGCCACACCATATTTTCACTCATCACAGACACTTGTCAGATTTTATATTAGAGAGCTAGCATGAGGTTGTTGTTACAAATGGGTTATATGCACAGAAGTGTTGTAAGTGTGGCTTAGTAATAAGCGAAATTCCTGCACGCCGCCGGGCCAACCACTACATATACTTCTAACTGGCGAATGACATAGACTAGTGGGTTGTCTGCTGTCGTGTTGCGGTGGGCGTGTTCGCGAATTCTGAAGGCGTGGCTTTGAAACACAGTCCCTCCCCTGCCATCAAAAGCAAAACCTTGAAATAATGCATATATATTTCATATTGCAGCCCCTTGCCATGAACCAATCACAACGCTTCGAATTGCGATTCGATTTTGATTAATCGCACAGCCCGACTCTGGACCATACATTTAAACAACCCAATTTTTTTTTATGTTCAATCGACTATTTTTTTTTTTTTTAACCAATATCTAATAACCTAATTGCTTCATGTAGTCCCAACACAAATCAATTGTGTGGCTCCCATACATTTTTTGCAGTGCTTATAAATCAAAAGATATCTCATCTAAATCTTCCAGGACTTCCTGATGCGATCTTTATTGAGCGTTGATATTACAACTTCGCATTCGTTATTCCCTGTCAACAATTGTTTCACTTCATGAGACGCATCCAGTTGATATTTAAATGAAAAATAAATCCCCAGAGCTACAGAAGCGCAAACAGTTCCTCGTGCATTTCTACAGAAGCCAAATAACCACATGCTATTCTTCAGAGTAATGTCATTTAAAGCGACATAATGCAGTTCCATGCAAATGAACAGCAACGTGAAACGCCCTAGAGTCCCCCGTAAAATCTGCGAAGAATGAGAGACTTCCCAATTGTATTGACATGAAAATCAAACACTGAGCGGTCCGGCGTGCCAAATGACACGACAGGCTTGACAGCTTTGAGCAAACACAGCATGCAAAGACAACAAAGATGCTTTTTTTCCGTCCCTCTCTCTTGAGAATGCAGGTACAACGGCGGCAGAAGAAGGCGGGGGAATAAATAAAATTAGATTAAAAGATTACAAAAAAACTCAGTGGAGAAAATGAATGCCTGCACGTCATGCTAGATGACAGGACAAAGATGAGGGAAAAATACGGTCCCGTTCCTATTTTTAGGAAGCAGTGTGTGGCTGACAGTGAGGAGAGAATTTGTGG